GGCCATGGGTTATAATGGGAGCGAGGAATGCCAGTTGACCTGCATGGGTTCCGTTGAAATACATTACAGCAGACAATAACAGTCCCCAGAAAGGTATGATGGCTTCTTGGCCCAGATAAAGTGCTTTGCGACTGGAATGACAACACTTCTGCTATTCTCATGGGCTGTCACTCCAGTCCCAGAACACTGATTCTAGTCCTGGGGCAGTCATTCCTTTGTGGAGACTGTCATTCCAGTCCCAAAGTAGTGTATCTGGGGCCGTGGACTGTCGTTCCTCTTTGGAAGCTGTCATTCCAGTCCCAGAACACTTTGCAAGAGTTGTCATTCCAGTCTTAGAGCACTAATTCCTGTCCCAGGGGCGTTATTCCACTGGGCGGGGTTGTTTTTGCAGTCCCAGAACAGTTATTCTTCTCCCAGGGCCATCATTTCCTTCTGGGCTGGCACAGCATTTGCTTCTGACCCAGCCCAGTTTATCTTTGCCGAGGCTATCATTCCACTTTGTGTTATCCCAGGCCCACAGCAATTTACCTGGTTTTAAGGGGTATCATTCCAGACCCAGCACAGTTTATCTCGATCCAGAGTCTGACTCTTTGGGAGTTGTCATTCCAGACCCAGCAGTTTATCTCAGAGGTGTCAAACTCATTTGTTAACAAGGACTGGATCTGACATAAATGTCACTTTGTCAGGCTGGGCCATGTGTGCCATAAAATGTAATGCCAGGCATGGGAGATACAAACTTTATAAAAGACACAAGCAAACCCAACTAACAATATTATTTTTTACCCAAAATACAAACATGCTTAAATACTCTTACAGTATTTCCTTGAAGTGTCTCCCTGATGCCCACCCTCCCACTTCCACCGCCTGTTACACATTAGTAGTGGGACATACATACAGGGACATAATGCACAGCCTCTGTCGTTTGGCAATTAAGGTGATGACCAGTTGCTCGCAGGCTGGATAAGAGCTCTGGATGGACTGGTTCCAGCTCATGGGCCATATGTTTGACACCCCTGGTTTATCTGGTTCCAGGGACTGTTTTCCACTCTGAGGGCTGTCATTCCAGGCCCATGGCAGGTTTCTCGAAAACTGTTCTACGTTTTTCTTGCATCTTTTCTGTGGCGCAATGGAGTCCATGCAAGTCAAGTGGCATTCCCTGCCCCCACTCTCTTATATCTAATGGGTATTCCAACAACTCCCATTGTTCTATTGGGCATTCCTGTCATTCATTTTAGTACATCCTTCAAAAGGCTTTTGTTACAAGAGACCCTGGAGAGCCACTGCTGGGCAAAGTGCACGGTACTGTTATGGTTTTGCCTTATGTGGAATAAAGCCATTGGTTCATTTAGCTCATTACTTTCTATTGTGCTTGGCAATGGCTTGCACGTTTTCACAAAGAGAAAGCATCTGCTTCCTGCAGTCCCTTTAACTAGATATGCTGTGGATTGAACCTGGTATTTTCGGCCACTGTGTGACAGAGTGTTGGACTAGATGGCCTGATCCAGCATTGGCTTCTCTTATGTTCTTATGAGACTGTTCACATGCAGATCATTCAGTCTGTTGCTGAGTCACACATAGCTCTTCCCCCAAATTTAGGAGCATATGGAGTTTTATGAACATGGCTTATGCAGGGTCAGATGATAGACCCATCTCCTTAAGTATTGTCTGCTCCACCTGGCAGTGGCTCTTCAGACTCTAAAGTAATGAAATGTCTTTCCCAGTCCCTGCTACTTTAGATCTTTGGCTGGAGATTGTTTTGGTATGGAATCTAGATATGTGTTTTGAACCTAAAGTATTGGAACCCCTTGGGCAATGTGGGTAGGATCTGAATGAGACAGATCAGCCTGATCAAACAACCAGCGTACAACTTTTGTCAGTTTGTAAAGCACCACCACTTATGTTGACTTATGGGAGGTTTCTTACAACTTCGCACATTGGCAGGATGTTTATTTAAATTGTTCCTATTAGTGTTTTTACAACAGTTTGCATTCAGAATATCAGGAATCCCCCTGATATACTTATCCTTGGGTAGGTCCGTATCTAATACATTCCAAAAGAATGTTTCATAATCAGAACAGTTCCACAAGTCACATTGTGAATTTCAGAAATGATTCATGCTTTACTTTTACATTTGGGTACAAAAAGTATCTGAGTTCATATTGGCAAACTACAATCAACTGATGTGATGTCATCTGTTTGAATGGTTGGATTTCGCTGTAGTGAATCCAGATGCAGAGTTGGGAAAGGAATGTTCCTCTGCGACAGTGTTCAAGAACAGGAATCTACTAAGCTAAATGTGTTATTTGCCACTGATAGATCTGCATGTGTCTTTCTCCTTTAAAACCTGTGGTACTAAAGTTTTAAAAAAATTAGTAGTGACTTGACTTGATTCTGTATGTTTGAAGATGATCCCCTTTTGCTAATGTGATAACTGAACAAGTGCCAGGAGCAAATGGATGATGCCGCAAGATGCCAAGACGAGATAACTTCATGGTGTTCCACCATGAAGTATGAAATCATCTGTGCTTGTTCCAGAATTATAACAGTTTGGAGGAACACTGAAAATTATATGTGAAAATTATAACTAAATCTCTGAGTTCTGCAGGGTCAATCCCCACTCTCCTTTCCAATTCCATTCTTTCTTTATTTAGATAGTTATATCATGTGTTTGTCTCCAGTGGGGACCCATAGCAGCTTACAATATTGTTCTGCCCTCCACTGTTTTATCTCCACACTAGCAACCCTGTGAGATAGGGTTAGGCTGAAAAAGAGCGAGTGGAATGGTTGTGCTCATTCCTATACACTGAATCTATTGTTTTGTATCAACTTCAGCCTGTGATTTATATGATTGTGATAAGTATTACTGTAGTGTATTGGTAACAATAAATGTTAAAATTCAATAAAATATTAATTTAAAAAAAGAGCAACTGGGCCGAGGTCACCCATTGAGCTTCTAATGGCAGACT